TGAAGGGAGTGTCCCACACTGACAGGCTGGAGGAACTGGGTCTCTTTAGTGTGAAGGGAGTGTCCCACACTGACAAGCTGGAGGAACTGGGTCTCTTTAGACTTGAACAGAGAGATTACAAGAGGACCTGATACAAACATTCACAGTCTTCAAAGGCTTCAGAATCAACAGCAAAACACGAACCAGGGGACAATGATGAAAACTACAAGCATGTGCATTTTAACTTGAGAACCAATAGTGTATTCTTTACACAAAGGGTGGTGGGGGTGTGGAGCACAATTTACCAGCCAGGATGGGAGACATGGTTAGTGTTCTCAGAGTGTGTGAGAGAGGGAAAGCTTTATAGATCTAGTCCTTTCAAACAACAAGACGATGTGTGAGAACTGTTACGGATTTGTAGTCATAACATGGTGTGCTTTGATGTTTACTTTGAAACTGTCCAGACCAATTACAATTGATGCAGCTTACAAACGAACACCCACAAAAGACATCAAACAGAGTCTCCTTTTGTTTAAAACGAGCACCTTGATTATTCGCACAGGTGGCGCTGTGTTTCCCCATCAGCGTGCACAGCTGTGTCTCAGTGAAATAGTCCCAGGTGCAGATTGCTTGTTTACCTCCTTTATTGTCCCAGATTGGAAACGTGCTTTGCAGGCCAGTAAAAGACAGAAAGCAATACACAATACATCTAACACTACCTGATCCCTTTAACAAATTAGAAACATACAAGCATGAGCTGAAAAAAAAGTCGACAACTTTAGGTAATTTTCGCAATTTAAAAGAAACAAAGAAATAAGTTTTCAGTGTTTGCGATAGGTACATACGATAAATATATGAAAAAAAAAACAAATAAAATATACAGTCAGCTGTCTAAATTAAGCAGGTCAATAGCTGTGGAGATAAAAGATAACACACTTTTATTGCACTTAAATTAGGAAGTCTGAATCGATGATCTGAGGCTAATGCAGGCTTTGTACTCTTGGTTGAGACGATGAATAGAATATATTATCTTCTGAACCTCCTGGTGACCTCCGGGTTCCTGTCCACACTGGCTTATAATTCCAGCCATTTTCTTCCTTCACAGAGGTCAGAGATTGCCGGTCTTCGTCCTGGACTGAGCCAGGGAGTGACTCAGGAGGACGGAGCCGGGATCCCTTACTTCAGTTCACACTGCTCACAGCACCCCCTGTCCACCGCAGAGTGAACTGCAGCAACAGCAGCAGAGCAGGAGCGCGAGGACACAGCGCAAACAGCACTGACTTCACTCCCGATAACTGGACACTGGTCGCAAGCCCTGTAGTGGTGAAAATACTGCACAGGAGTAATAACACAGTAAGAAATCGCAAGCCCTCTAGGCAGAGTGGGGGAACAGCGGCTCTTATTCTGATGACACAGAATTCCAGGGTCAGAGGTTAGAGGTCGCACGGCCCGCCGCAGATGCAAAATCTTAGGACGATCTGAGCATGTGCAGAGCCCCGAGCCCCGCCTCCCCAGCCCCCGCCCAGGGTGTCTGCTGTCAATCACACACTGGTACAGGGTTGGGAGAGGTGGTGACTGGGCAGGATGGAGGGAGGAGTGGGACCGCCTGTCCTTCAGCGCGACGGCGACGCCTGTCTGACTTTGTCACGTTTCCGAATCCGAGTCTGGGAGGGAGAGAGAGTGGGATGAGATCCTGTGGCAGCAGCTGGGAGAGAAGAAGAAAGGTTACAGACTGTCTGAGAGAGACAGTGTGACATAACAGAACTCAAAGCGCAATGAGGGACCCCAACACTGGGCTCAACAGACCTCAGCAAGGATCTCTGAACACCAACACTGGGTACAGCAGACCTGAAAGAGCTCTGAACCCCAACACTGGGTACAGCAGACCTGAAGGAGCTCTGTACCCCAACACTGGGCTCAACAGACCTCAGCAAGGATCTCTGAACCCCAACACTGGGTACAGCAGACCTGAAGGAGCTCTGTACCCCAACACTGGGCTCAACAGACCTCAGCAAGGATCTCTGAACCCCGACACTGGGTACAGCAGACCTCAGTGAGGAGCTCTGAACCCCAACACTGGGTACAGCAGTCCTGAAGGAGCTCTGTACCCCAACACTGGGTACAGCAGACCTCAGTGAGGAGCTCTGAACCCCAACACTGGGTACAGCAGTTCTGAAGGAGCTCTGTACCCCAACACTGGGTACAGCAGACCTGAAGGAGCTCTGTACCCCAACACTGGGTACAGCAGACCTCAGTGAGGGAGCTGAAATCATCAGATTAAAAAAAAAAGAAAGATGTTATCAAGATATATCATACAATCATTACATAATAATTATATAAAATAAAATAATTATATAATCAAAATAATTAAAAGGATCAATTAGTGAGTAAGAGCTCATCTCCAGTAAAAACCACAATGCACATGATCAGTTATCCTTCCTGCCACCAGAGGGCAGTGTGTACCTGAACAAGATGCACTGCTCACTGTAAAAAAGCCACATCTGAGCTTCTCGAACTGTGAACCCGACCTGGAGGCTGAGGAATGGAACCCCTGTCACTGCCCATCAAGTCCCCAGAGACCAAAAGAAACTTCAGTCTGGTTTAGCCCAGTCCAGCAATGTTAAATACTGATGGGTGGGTCATTACAGAACCTGCTGACCTACAGAACAGCTCACAGCGGTATCCACCTTCTCCCCTGCAGCTGATCCTACTGGCTCTCCCTCTGGCCTGCCTCTGGGCCTGACTCCCTCCAAAAGTCTACAGCCCAGCTGTTGGGCAAAACTATGTGAACCCAGTCCTTTTAGACAGGGCACAGTAACTGGCTCAGCCCAGTCCTTCAGGGGCTTTGGAGGTCTTCAGTTAGGGGTTAAAGGCCACTGTGAATCTGGGCTCATGAAGACAGTAACTGACAGTAACTCAGTTCAGACCCTGAGAACCCCAGTCATACAGATGTGACTCCCTACTGTCTGCTGTGATCTCTCTGTATCGGGACAGAGCGCAGATCTGACTGCTGTCTGCTGTGATCCCTCTGTATCGGGACAGAGCACAGATCTGACTCTGCTGTCTGCTGTGATCCCTCTGTATTGGGACAGAGCTCAGATCTGACTGCTGTCTGCTGTGATCTCTCTGTATCGGGACAGAGCTCAGATCTGACTACTGTCTGCTGTGATCCCTCTGTTTCGGGACAGAGGGCAGATCTGACTCTGCCGTCTGCTGTGATCCCTCTGTATCGGGACAGAGCGCAGATCTGACTGCTGTCTGCTGTGATACTGTACATCTGTATCGGGACAGAGCGCAGATCTGACTACTGTCTGCTGTGATCTCTCTGTATCGGGACAGAGCGCAGATCTGACT